ATTACCTGTAAAACCACAAATCTTTTTGAAAAAGGGCGTAAGCATGAAACACATAAGAGCTATACCCTGTGCCATTTAGTAAAGAAAAACCATGAAGCACAATCCGGTTGTGTGGTGAAACCGTCACAGTCTTGGTGCAGTATAGTTCCATTTTAGGATAACTTAGAATAACTTACCCTCTGTTTTTGTTCTTCGGTGCGGACATCACTTCGAACATTTGCCCAAGGTATGTCATCAGGCCACCAGACAGGTTTACAGCTTTCTTTGCCCCATCCTGGTTTACCTCGACCTGTGGAGTATTTCAACATCTCTGGGATGAACGCACGTAACTGAGCCTAGAACCAAAAAGATGAGAGGGAAAGATTAGAAGGAATGCTAAAACTGATGAACATATTTTGTCTTTAAAATTAGCTGTAATTCCTAACTGAATAATTCATGTTTTCTAAAGCACTGCATATTATTAACAATTGCGATTTGTGCCAACAATATATGTTTTCCACATTTCTTTTTGTTCCATCAGTGTTGCTGATCTCCTGCAGCCTCTTTGCAGCCACGTCTGTCTGCATGCACTCAATACTTCGCTGAAATTCTAAAGGGCAGATCTCCAGATGGTGATAACAGTGGAGTGTTTGAGGAACAGCTATTCATACTCTCAAATGTGACCATTGCAGAAGCACAACTGGGAGACAGGGAATAACAGAGTGCTGTCACCCTATAGCAGGAAGTGTTTGAGCAAAGACTTTCATGGCAGGATCACCTGGCGCTATTCAAATGAAAATTGAAAATGTTAAACTATTGAAAAGGACCAATACATCAACATTTTAAAGACGAAAATTTGAACGTTGAAGTTTAAAGAACTGTAGAAGGCTTGTAGGACCACTGTAGATAGAATAGCGGTCTTTACCTACAGCCTGCTGTCGGGGAAAGGAGATTTCATTTTTGGCCTAAATGAAAAACATTGAACAAATAAGACATATAAAATGTACAATGTTATGCACCCTCAATTTACATATCTACTTTTTCATCAAATAGTTATTGGGTTTTAAACAGCATACATATGATTCTCATTCCATACCATGTCATAATTAACCAAATTTAAAATCAGTTCCAACTGAAAAAAAAAAGAGGCCATCACTCTGCTTGCAATTCATTTTCTATGCGTCTCTATCCCGCCTCACTGTATGTTTTACCTGATGAAGGGGATCCTTTGTGACCCCGAAACGTTCGTTGTTTTTTACCACAATGCACGTCAATAAATAGACGTATTTTGCAAATTTGGAGTGCCGGTGTCTCTGCTTTAGCTCTATCTTAACACCTGACAGAACTCCGTTTGCTGGCCTGAACACCTCTCCTGCTTGCCACCAATATATAAAAAAAAGCAGGCAGGCTTTGATACTCGTGCTTTGTCTGCAATCTGACTTTAGGAGCTTTGACATCTCTAGTTATTACACACAATTAAAATTAAAAAATGTAAAATCTTTCTATACAGAAGGTGTTTTATCACACAGTGAAAGGTGCGGTGAGCATAAGGCATTTGACCCAGCCATAAAACAATGGATGATAATAGATATCTAGTCCTTTTACCACTCACCAGCACCATTAACATTCCATGTTATATACAAGCCTGCCATTGGCACACACTGTTCCCTGGTTCTGGCTGGTGTAACTTTGCTCCCTAGGGTAACCGAGGAAATGCAAGACTGTGGAAAGATTACACAGCAGCATCATCTGGTGAGCAGCAGATGTGGATAGTTTAGATTTGTTATTTGCTCCTTCTAAATATAATGCTTCATTCACACTACTTGCCAGTTGCGCTTTTATGCAGAGATCTGTCTGCAAAATCTGTCCGTCTAGATGCTTTGTTTATGCAACTAGGTGCTTAAAATTACACTCGTGTGTTTAGATGCATCTGTCCTTTGTCCATTAAGTAGCAATGAGAATTCAGCAAATAAGTGTGTTTACGTGCGTTTTGGTGCATTTAAAAGTTCAAATCAATTCATGGATGCACGTGACTTCTATTTTTTGCTAAACACAGCTAAACTGACTGCAGATAAAATCATCTAAATGCAAAGTGTGAATAGATCCACTGGAAATCATTAGAAGCATATATATGCGTTTAGAAAACAGTTTTAAATGTACATAATAGCACCTATGAATGTGAATGTAGCCTATAGAATTTTTGAACAATGGTGTTAAAATTACAAACTGCAAATATTGTCCATCTGCACAAGAAGGAATATACTGTATATAAATAAGAATATACACACACACACCTACTACTACTACGACTACTGTGCAAAAGTTGTGTTAGTTTATTTTTATCAGTTAATAAAATGGTAAGTAAACAGAAGAAAAATACAAATCAATGTTTGGTGTGACCCCCCTGTGCCTTCAAAACAGCATCAATTCATACACTTGCACAAAAGCGTAGTCACTCCAAATATTGATTGGATTTAGATTGTTCTTCTGCTCACTCACTTTGCATTTTGTAAATAGATAAAAAACAATAATATATATTTTTGAAAGCAATCTTACTTTACAGCATTTTTCACACCTGCCTAAAACTTCTGCACAGTACTGTATATGCAAACACACCGATCAGCCATAACATTATGACCACCTGACTAATATTGTGTAGGTCCCCCTTTTCCTGGCCTGTCAAGGCATGGATTCCACTAGACCTTTGAAGGTATGCTGTGGTATCTGGCACCAAGCCGTCATCAGTAACAGATTCTTTATGTTTTGTAAGTTGCGAGGTGGGGCCTCCATGGATCGGACTTGTTTTGCCAGCACATCCCACAGTTGCTTAATTGGATTGGAATCTGGAGAATTTGGAGGCCAAGTCAACACCTCAAACTTGTTGTTGTGCTCCTCAAACCATTCTTGAACCATTTTTGCAGTATGGCAGGGCGCATTATCCTGCTGAAAGAAGCCACTGAAATCTTTACGCTTGGCCATTTTTCCTGCTTTCATCACATCAACTTGCTGCCTAATATATCTCCCCACTTTCAGGTGCCAGGGTCCCTCTCAGTGGTCATAATGTTATGAGAGAGAGAAAGAGCAAGAGACACAAATGTATAGAATGAATGTTTATTCAGTGTTCACTTAACATTTAGTGATGTATGCATAGTAGTGCAACTTCCTTCACACATGTATGTATGTATGTATGTATGTATGTATGTATGTATGTTGCACACCAAATTATACACACAGTAGATTGACAAATACTCAAGGACAAAATAAATATACAGCATATACTGTAAAAGTAAAATCTACATGGCATGAAAAGTAAAACAAAATTTCTACAAGAAATAAAAGTTTAACTTAGAAGTAACTACATTTCCATAATGAATAGTGATGCCAGTGTATTAAGGTTAACTGCATATTAGCATTATATATGTGTAATAAAAATAAAAAGGTATGTCAATCAGAACTTTGATATTTGAGTTTGTAAAAAGATAAATGAAGCCGCTAAAGTTCCAAAAGGGGCAAAATAGTTGTAGACTGGCTTTCTGATGCATGGGTCAAAAAACCAAAAAACTATTTTTTAGGTCAAGGGAAACATTTTTAAAATAATGACTGCAAGTAATATGGGTAAACCGCACTGATAAAGAATATAATGGTTGAACGTCAATGATCATTCAGGATAAATAGACACTTTACATGACAAAGGCCAAAATTAGTAGGGAGTTGAATAAGTATCTCTATGACCAAGCCTTAGAGAAGCTACATTGTGAGTATCACAAAATTGGAATTATTGGCAGAGCTGCCCTTTTGAAGCACAACACTTGAAATCCAGAGCACATCCTATTTCTTACATTCATTCGGGTTTATAATACAAAGCATGGCTTTAACCCACTACATTAGAGTCTTATTTTCAAAGTATTGAATATATACATTTATCTCAACGGCAGGATTTCTTTTTTTTTTGAAAGGTCCCCCAGCAGCTCAAGCTACAATACTCGCCCGCTCTTCAGGACTGACCCCCACAGCAATTCATTTTCACCACACGTCATCTTCAGTCTTTCTAGCTGAATTATGCCCAAGCAACATACACACAGGTTGGGGGGGGGGAGGGGGTTGAGGCAGGTACGTTAGATTCCAGAGTTAGGCTTTAACTCTCATACACACCAGTATTTATTATTGATGTTGCATACAGAATCCACACAGAAACCTATTTTTCTGGTCATAATAGTGTATGCGTTTTCATATTTTTCCCCATTATGTACCTACAATATTCCCCCACTTATAACCTAGCCATTAAAGAGTTAAAGATCACCCTTATTGATACCACCGCACTCAGATTGTGAAGTAGTAATTACCATCTTCTTGTTAACTACAACCCCTGGAGACCTGATCAGCAGCAGCAGTCACACTAAAGCCTGTTCGCCTGTAAGAAACTCTCTAATTAGGAGGATGGATGATTTACACATCAGTATGTAGGAAATGTGCAGTGCGCAAACACAAAAAAATTATTCTGTATACAAACACACTGTACAGTACAACATTCTCTAAATTCTAACTGCTCCTCTTTATTTGAGGAGGGGAAGAGGTAAATATGGCCAATGTGCCTTTAGAGGAAACAGAGGTCAGATAGTGTAAAGTCACATCTGACCAGACATTGCCAATGTGAAAGGAGATGGAAAAGCATACCGTGTGTTAATGTCACACGGTATGCCCCCCAATTCGGTCAGCTTAAAATCCCAAACTAAACAGCACTTCCAGGTACAGACATTCACAATTTGCACTATTATAATACAACCCAACATGAGATTGTTCATTTCCCCTCTACATGATTAAAAAGCAGACCCATAAAATACCTACAGTTTTCAGATTTTCCCAGACACCTCACCCTATGCAAGTCTCTACTTCCAGGAAACGATATCCTGCAATTCCTCCTGCTGGCACTATATTCAGAAGGTTTAAAGGGTCAATGCACTCAAAAGTAATATTTTAGTCATGGGCGCCATTCAATGGACTGAATGACCAGCTCCTGGTCTCTTGAATACACCAGTAGATCCGTTTGTGTCCACCTTGATGTTAGGGGAGTTTTCTCCTACATTTGGCCATTTCCCTTTTCCTGTTGCATTATTAATTTTAGATACACTGAAACTTTATATGAGGAAGAATAAGTCATAAGATGTGTTGAGATCACAAGATGTCCATTCTTATAGAGCCAAAGATTACTTTATCTTATACATTTAAAATAAGATGATACCGTATTTGCCGGCGTATAAGACGACTTTTTATACTTCAAAACATCCCCAGAAAATCGGGGTCGTCTTATACTCTGGGTATACAAAACGTCCCTAATCTGTCAGCACGCTGGATGTGCGGTAATTCTGTATGTACGGTAGCTTCGGCTACATACGGTATACCGCGCTGAGCCAATCACGGCGAGCGATGTACACATACACCTCTGCCAATCCGAGCAGGCTTTGTATTAATTAATACATCGCTTGCCGTGATTGGCTCAGAGGGGTATACTGTATGTAGCCGAAGCTACATACAGTATACCGCGCACATCGCTTTCCGTGATTGGCTCAGCGCGGTATATGGGGGGGGGGGGGGGGGGGTAGTCTTATACGACGAGTAAAGCCCAAAACCTATGTTTTAACTGAAAAATTAGGGGGTCATCCTATACGCCGGTAAATACGATACTTGCTTATTGTAAGCACACCCAGTCAATGTCTACCTGCAATTTTGTAAGCAGGTAAAAGTCTGATATATTGTGCTTCAGTCTTTAAATTCATAGTCCCCAGAAAACCATTTACATGAGAAAAACATTCCTTGGTTTAATAGCGTGAAAGATCGAATGTTTTAGGTGCACAAGCACATTAGATTTACAAGCCCATGGCATGATCACAGCTTTGTCTCCCTTAAGACAAAGACAGAAAATAGAGCAATTAAGGTTGAGTCACCTGAAGCCTACAGCCAGGCTAGTGAACTGCACACCTGAGCTCGGCTCCACTTGTCCTTTTTAATGAATCTTTCTGATGAAAGCTTACTGGCAGCTCTAAAGTCCCTGAGCAATCCCAAAGGAAATTACTCTTCACTTCAACTCATTCATGGCTTATTTAATCCAAGCAGGATTGAGGAAATCCAAAACTGCTGATCCCAATTCAGAAGTCAACTGTAGAATTCATCACACTGCTAATACAGAATACGAACCACAAGACTGCTTATGGTCCATTATTGTTCGGTTATCAGGAAACATCATTACAAATAAAGGGTTGGAGACTAAACCTGTTGAGGACAGGTTACAGAGAGGATATTATAAACAATCAGATTCCCACACATTACAGTTTAAATAAGGAGAACAGGCATTATTTTAGCAAAAGAGAGCAACCTTGTACTGAACGAGAAAAAGCAACTAGTGTATAAGCAACTTTACTGCCCTCAAAGAGGGAGCTACAAAATAGTTACCCTAAGTCAGTACCTACATAGAAGCATTTCATCTGGTCTGAATCAGCTTTTCACTGCAACCACAAAATGCACTACCATTTCTGTGTCCTGATTATCGCTATGCTTTTACATGACACCAAGTAAACCTATCAATTACCAGATTGATCTTAGATCCACTGAGTTACTATTGTAATAATGGCACCCTTTATTTACTGCAAACAATGACAGTTTACTTACACGTATGTTTTGTTATGAGATGCACACAACTGTGCTAAGCACCATGGGAAGGGGCTGATTTCTGGTTATAGGGCGTGAATAAATGAAATTATTCTTTTTGCTGTAAGGAGGAGAGCATTCACACACACAAAGAATATGATAGGTATTTAATACACTGGCAGCCACCTCACCTGTGTCATCTTATCCACAGACACTGGAATGCCATCAATAGTCAAGGGGGGCAGATCCGAGTTGATGTCTTGTTGCACAGGCGCATGCTCCGCTAGTGCAGTTTCTAGGTCCTCCAGGATCATACTCTTATACTTGCGTACCTAAGGGAGAAAGGAGGCGGTAAACAGATGACAGAAGTTCTCATCTTCTCACTGCTTAGTTACATGGCTGCCCCAGGGTTTAAAGGCACCTCTGGTAACACAGCTGCCAGCTAAAAATAGATATTATTCTGTGTCTCTGATGGTAGCAAAGGCAGGAAATGATGATGAAACTTTAAGTAATACCATTCCATGTTCTAGCAGCAAGATGAAAATAGAGAAGGGTAAGAAGGAGAAATGATCAACAAAATAGATATAATTTTCACATTACAACCTAGTTTTTAATACATACATTTAGAAGATGCACACATTATACGTGTCAATTTGCAGACTAAAAACCTATGTTACAGGGAACCTATGAAGACAGAAATATAAGAGCTGCTATTGCTGACATGGTCTTTAAAAGGGAAAGGCTCTGGGGCACGTATCCTGATCCAGACTTCACTATCCCAGATCAAGCATGAAGCCTGTGATGCCTCAAAACGACATTCATTCAATCGTTGGGAAAAACCGGGTTAGAAAGACAGCCCCACTGCCTGCCATTTTGAAATCCAAGTCAGTAATGCAGGGGTGTGGAAATCCTATCACCCGACGCCCGGGACATGCAGTTTCGGGCGCCGGGCAAGTAGTTTTTATGTACATTTAGCCCGGCTCCGGACAAGCAGAGTTGAATGTACATTGTGGAGCCGCCGCCGCTCAGTACTTTAGTACAAGTGATCTGATCAGACCACTTGTATCAATTTCAGCAGCGGCGATCGTTTCTGCCCGCACCCCCCGCCGTAGTTTGAGGTCCCCCCGCTCTCCTGGGGGACCCCGAAAACTACGGCACAGCCATAGAGCCCGTAGAGCAGACGAAGAACGTCTGCTCTACGGGCTCTCTGTGTGTTCTGAGACCGTGGCGCTGTTATCAAATAACATGGAGCCGCCTTCCGTGGCAATCGGGAACCTGGGCGGGATGTCATTACCCGCTGCCCGGCTTCCCGATTACCAGGGAAGCCTGCTCCATGCCAGCGGAAGCACCGGTATTAGTATTCAGTGTCGGCGAGATCCGAAAGCAAAGAATCGGTACTGGATACCGAAAAACCGGTATTGGTGAATCCTTGGTTTTGATTAAAACTATTTTTTTGTATTGGGACAAAAGTAGATTGTCATGAAGGACAAGTAGATTTGGCCCCTGCTTTAGCCCTTGGACAAGTATTTTTTTTTTACGTTTCCACAGTAATGGCAGCTCACACATTTGTAACCATACAAATCACAACACAAAACTTTAGAAGCATAGTTTAGAGAAAAGAACTGGTGCTTACATTGAAAAGTCAATGTTATAACTGCAAATTCAAAACATCAAATGATGGGTCCTACATCCGTTAGGCAGTTTTCATTTATAATGTTAATGTCCACTCAGACAACATTGTTATAATTGGTAAGAGACTCACAACATTCTCCAGTGGAGCTGCTCCAAACACTTTGAAGAGCGCATTGGGTTTGGAAGGAGAAATGCACAAGACTATGGCTTGCTGTCCTACTCTGGTAGTATATTCATCCAAGGTTGCCCTTAGTTTCCTGTCAACAAAAGCAAAGCATGAGAAAAGTCCAACAGTATGCTGCAGGGCAACAGATACTCAATGGAACTCATTTACATTATTATGACTACTAAAAGCGTGCCTGTTGCAGAATGGACAATGCTAAAGTGTCTTAGCAAACAGTATATTTAGGGAGAAGAGGGCATGATGGTGGGTAGCATGGAGACAGCTGGCAGTATGTACAGGATAAAAATGCGAACAGTATAACAATGGGCAGTGAGGAGAGCAAACGGTATGACAATGGGCAATAGGTGAGGAGCGCAGATGGTATAATAGAGGCAATATGCGCAGAGTGCGGATGTTACCGCGACTGGCAGTATTGTGTGCAGAAGAGAAGAGCTACAGAAGAATGGTGTATTTAACAGACCAAAAGAGAGCAAAAAAAGTTGAAGTTCATGAATAGGGTTTACAGACACTTTAAAGCGACCCCATTGCTATACAGATATAACTCAAGCAACCTGTACCCCTAAAAGAAGACAGTCCGCTTTCTTTAGTTTCTTAAGCCGATCTCTAGATCATTACAGGAGTCAGTAGTGATGTGGGTGTCAGCAAGAGGAGCCAAATGGAGCTGCAGGGGACCCATTAAATGGACACTCCCAAAAGTGTTTCCAAGCAGACTTTGGAGGTTCTCTCTCTTCTTTACTCTCCAACAATTGCAACATTCGTATAGCGACAAAGCCATTTTACTTTACAGATTAATATCGGAGTCTCTCTGTATTAATCAAACGAAGGCACATTGTTTTTGAATAAAGTTATCCCTTTTTTTATCTTGATGGTTATTCTCTAGTTTGCAAAGAGCCACTCACCGAAGCAGTCTTGTTTGCTGTCTTTTACGTATTGAAGGGTTAGACTCGAAGATGTGAGGCCTCTTGCGCTTTTTTCCTGTGGCCACAGCCGCTGCAGCAGCCATTCCCACGGGGCCTACAAATACAGAGGACACAAATTACTACAGAGTTAAATCGTAATTAAAAGATCAAATGTAAAATCCAATACAAAAATGCTCCAAAGCACAAGCATCACCTCTGGCAGAAATGTGTGGGAGACCATTAGCTTTTAAGGGAACATATACTAAGAACACACGTAGGCTACTATTGCTGATTTTTTTTTTTTTTAATACTAGTAGTAGGTTTGTTATATTGATGCAAAGGCTTCAGTACTTTACTCACTGACTTAGAGGAAAGTCAGAACTGCTCATCTTGTTCTAACTCTGCAAGCTTGTTTCTGATTGGTTACTCAAAGTATTAAGGCCACAAAAAGATAGGAAACTAGTATTTTTAGAAGGTGGTCATCAATGGTAGCCTGTGCTTCTCTTGGTTTCATTTAAAGATGTCATTTAAAGTGAACTTTTCCATTGGATTAAACCAAAATATAAAATTCCCTAACTATCAAAACTACAAAAAACATGGAAATTGGTATCAGATGCAAGCATTGAACTCTCTGAACTATTGGTGCAATGTCAAGCATGAACATTTCACATTGTGTTGACTGCAAGTTTTAAAAAGGAGAACTATGGGGTCAGGGGATTTCCCCATAGTTCTCCTTAGGGTAACGGGAGGACACAAACTAGCGTCCTCCCGTCACCCTAAGCTCATTGATGAGACTTCACCAAGCATGTTTGTGTTGCATCTGCGCCCTCTACTGGCCAACACTGAAAATAGTATAACAAGTTTCCCATCACTTTCTAGGGAGAGCAAACATTTGTTTCACTAAACAGTGTGTTTAGGCATGTGTGTGTGTGTGTGTGTGTGTGTGT